TACTCTTTGTCCAATGGGTAATGACCACCCATCACCACATGTCTTCTTCAATCATGACCAAGTCACCTCCTCTTGATAGGTTGCAAAAGGTGAAGGTACAACCAATAAATGTGATGGAAAAGCCATTCCATCATGGTACAACTAGAACTCTTCCAAGTCTCATCATCCCAAACTAGGACCAATCTTCCATGCAACTAAGTAATTAGATTTGAACTTAAGCATTAACTCCCAATAATATCCAAGAATATGAATATCATAATTTTGTTCAAATCCAACTAGATGCCAAATTTACCAACAATAAAGAGTTTTTTTAGACAATAATTAAATTCTTAACCTTTCATCACCTCTTAACATAATTTGGATCAAAAATATAGGATAGGAGCAAAATGGGTACCAAAGATACAATAAAATAGGGGTATTGGACAACAAATAACTCTAACAAAATGAGAGTTATCACACCCCCCAAACTTGAGGTATTACTTGTCCTCAAGTAAAAGAAAATAATTTAAAAAGACACAAAAAAAAGGAACAAGAACGAAACACTTACGGAAGGTGTTGRAAATTCGTCTAGTAAAGAGGATGTACAATTTCCTTGCTTGATCTTCGTAGTGTTGCCGTTAATCAGTAGGGCTTTCGGGTTAGTGTTCTTGGCAATGATAGTGTGTATCCTTCCCCCAAACTTATCCTATACTACAAAAGGGTTTTAAACAAAAGTTCTCGTCGATTCACTTTTGAGTACGTAGAAAAAGTTTGTGACCCATATCTTGGCATAACCTTGCCCTTTTGAATACCGGGCTTTTTATTTTCGTCTTCCAATTTTCCGAAGACCGATTATTTTATTTTTTTTTGTTTTGTTTTCTTCTYTTTTTTTTTTTTTTTTCATATCTCCCAATTTTTCGAAGGTATATCTTTTTTTTTTCATTTTGAACACATCCCCCCAAACTGATAATAACAATGTCCCCATTGTTGCCAAAGGGACCAAAAGGGTACGGGTTGGGTGCAAGGGGAAAAGTGTTTGGGTTTAAAAACAAAAGGAGGGCCTACATCCTTTTAACTTTAGCACTACCAAAAATCATCCAAGCAAATTGTACCTGAAATGAATAATGGAACTAGACAAAACAAAATGAAATCCAACACCCATGTCATAAATATCCACACAAAAGAAAATGACATTCCGCAAAGCATACAAAAGACGGAATGAAAATGTATCTGTACCCAAGAGTTATATCCAAAAATAATGTTTAAAGAGGTGGGATCAAAAGTTGAGAATTTAACCATTTCTGCCAAACTGCTCACTGTGGGCAAACAGTGGATGCACCTGGCGCCTCGGAGGTTTGGACAATGGGAGCAGTAACTGAAACAGCAACGGCAGGAACAATGGCAGTGGTGATAGGCAATGGAGCAACAGCAGGAATGTGGGGAACCGGAGCAAAGGGTGCAGCAACAACAGATGTCGGCACATGGGCTTGCAAAGGTGGGAAGCACCGGACCTGAGGCGGGCAAAGACCGCTGGGGAATCGGGGAAGTTGGGCTGTCAAGAGAGTATCTTGACGCCCATAGAGTTGTCGTTCCACCCGATTCCAGTCTCTAGTGTAAGCCCAATATCGTGCACTCTTCTTTTCGAGATCGGAGACTCGATCATCAAGGCTTCCAACCTTCTTCTATATCTCTTCTAACTTCTGATTCGTTTCCTCCCACTGTAGTGCCAAAACAGACAGCTAAGTTGCTGACCCGTACCCCGAGCCTAAAGGGTTGCTCGCCGGTGGATCGGAGGGGCTGGCCATATCATCTCCGCATCGTGGGAGCTCAGCAGTCGGTTCGGCCATAGGGACAGCGGGTGGGGCAGAAACATGCTCGGCAGGTTGCTCGGTGACAGCAGCGGGTGGCTCAGAAACAGCAGCAACCGGTGGCGCAGTGACAGCAGCGGTGGATGGCTCAGAAACAGCAACA